CCTGCTGGGCTCTGATGATCCTTCCACCTCAGCCTTCCAAGTAGCCGAGACTACAGGTGTGTGCTACCATGCCCAGCTAGTTTTTGATTTATTGTAGAGATGAGGTGTCACCAAGTTGCCTGGGCAGGTCTCGAACCTGCGGGTTCAGATAATCCACTCGTCTTGGCCTCCCAAAGTGCTGGGATTACAGGCTGAGCCACTGAGCCCGGTCTACTGCAGATATTTTTTAAAATTTTTATTTATTTTTGAGTTAGGGGGCTCATTCTGTTGCTCAGGCTGGAGGGTAGTGGCACTATCACAGCTCACCACAGCTTCAACCTTCTGGGTTCATGTAATCCTTCTGCCCCAGCCTCCTGAGTAGCTGACTACAGGTGCATGCCACCACATCTGGCTAATTACTTTTTTAAGTAGAGATCATATCTCACTATGTTTCCCAGGGTGGTCTTCAACTCCTGGACTCAAGCAATCCTCCTGCCTTGGCCTCCCAAAGTGCTGGGATTATAGGCATGAGCCACTGTGCCTGGCCAAATATTGCATATATTTATACTATCAGCTAGAGACACAACTTAGGTCAAACCTACGCTGTTTCTAAGACTTAAAAAAAATCCTGTCATAATTTTGCCAGGTATGTGAGAGAAGAAAAGCTAAGATGTACCCGACCCACCAATAAAATAAAAAACTCTGTTTCTCAGTGTAGCTTCTTCCAGCCTTTTAAAAACTGAAATAATGTCCTAAGAGAAAGTTTTTGGATTGAAGCAGAGACCTGAAGCTCAACCTGGTGAATGTTAAGAGGTAGAGGAACACCTGATGTACGTTCACAAGAAATGTCACCAGTAGGATTATCCCCAGATGTCACCATTTAAAACTGACTCACTAATACCGCCCTTTTTCTTTTCTTTTCTTTTTTGAGTTGAAGTCTCACTCCATCGCCCAGGCTGGAATGCAGTGGCATGCTCACAGTCAACCCCACATCGACCAGCTGGGCTCCGGCAATCCTTCCGCCTCAGCCTTCCAAGTAGCCGGAAATACAGGCGTGCGCTACCATGCCCGGCTATTTTTTGTATTTTGTAGAGATGAGGTTTCACCATGTTGCCCAGACTGGTCTTGAACCTGTGGGCTCAGGCCATTCTCTTGCCTTGGCCTCCCTAAGTGCTAGGATTATAGGCTTGAGCCAGCATGCCTGGTCTGCCCTTGTCCTTATAACTAAAGTTGATAAAATCACTCTTTGCTGTCTAGGAAGCTGTGGGCAAAAGACAAATGTTCCCAGAAGAAAACTCTTAGGTTGCAGCCGTTCAGAAGGCAAATTCTTAGGAAGAAATCAAGAGTGACCACTTTGATGACTGAAGAAGGCAATCAAAAAGATACTTTGGAGGAAACTGTAGTAAAGGTGAAGGGGTGGAAGCAGTAGAGAAGAGTACATGAAATGAAACTAGGAGTCTTGATTTGAAGGAAGAATTTGAAAATCAGGAGTTTCGGAATAAGACCATTAAAAAGCAGAAGAGGCCAGGTGTGGCGGCTCATGCCTGGAATCTCAGCACTTTGGGAGGCCGAGGTGGGAGGACTGCTTGATCCCAGGAGTTCAAAACCATCCTGGGAAATATAGTGAGATCTCGTCTATACAAAGAATAAAAATAAAAGAAATATAAAAAACTAACTGGGTCTGGTGGTGCACGCCTGTAGTAGTCCCAGCTACTCGGGAGGCTGGGGTGGGAGGATCGCTTGAACCCAGGAGTTTGAGGCTGCCATCAGCCACGATAATGTCACTATATTCCAGCCCAGGTGACAGAGTGAGACCCCGACTCAAAAAAAAAAAAAAATAAAAAACCCCAGAAAACGTAAATACTTGAACCCCGTCCCCATTTCTATGAAATCAGAATCTCTGGGGCTGTGGCCCAGCAATCTATGTTTTTCCAAGCCCTCCAGGGGCTTCTGGTGGTAATTCAAGTTTGAGAACCTCTGTCTGGCACAAGGACGGTTCCAGGTCACTGAGAGGAGCCCACGCTTTCCCACCCGCCCCAGTATTTTCACGCTGTCCTTAAGCCATCACGTTTCATCTGGCATCTGAAAAATGGATTCATGTCTTGAAAGGCAAAGAGGTGAATAAAAGCACGAGGGCTACGCAGCACAAGCCTACCAGAGTTATAACTCCATAGAGTTTTTCGACTTTGTCCTTGAGTTCCCGGAAGCAGGAAGACAAGCGGTCATGCAGTGGCTTGAGCTGCTCAGTCAGTTTCTCTCCGTGGATGCGAATCCCTTCCGTCAGCAGAGGCATCTGGAAAGAAGAGCATGACGGGAACGGAATGGGGTTTAGAAAGAGGGGTCCCTGAGATTTGGAGCTTGGGGCAGGGTGGGGCAGAGGTGGACAGGTAAACTGGTAGACATAGCACTATCCAATGAGAAGACCGCCTCCCAGTTTAGGGGCTGTAGACTGGACAGACTTGGGTCAACAATGTGGAGAAATACACACACCAAGGATGCCAGCAGACACTGAAGTGGGAAACGGATGTGGGACAAGGCAAACCCAACTAAGCTGGGGCATTTCTGTGGATGAGCAACTGACAGGTTTAAGCCTAAAGCTGAATGTAATTGGCTGAGTTTTCTCCCACTGTCCACTGAGAAGTCGTGATCTCTCAGCTGGAAACACAGCCCAGGAAACCAACGGATGGACTGTCATCTCAGCTCTAAGAAGTCCTCTACAACCCCAGGCAGTTTAGCTGGAAGCCATTCCTAAGCCACTCTGCCAAACAAAATACAAAGATAGGTTATGGCTCCATAAGGGCTAAATAAAAAGAAAAAAAAGTAACCCTGAAAAGCAGAAGGCTTGTAGAATTAAGCTCCGGAGAATGTCATGGTGCCCCATGCTGTGGCTGCCCATGGAGTGCAGAGGAAAGCTGTCCTGCCACACAATTCCCTGGCCACGTACCTGCAACGCTATCAGTCGCTTTAGCAGCTCAACCTTCTCCTGGTCTTCAGGATGCTCCTGCAAGTATTTTTCTGTAAAAAAAGCCTAAAAGCAGAGCACACGCAATTATCAGAACACTTTCCCAACTGTGTCTGGGACCCTAAAATGGAAGCGGGAAGGCCGGAAGGGTGACAAAAGTCTTCTTCTGTTCCGATAAACCAGGAATGTCTAAGCATTCATTCCTTTCCTGGGATAGCCCTTATACCATAGTGAATAATTCAGAAAAGGATGGGCTATTCGCTGGGCTTTCTGGAATCATGCAAGAGTACATTCTCAACAATCACCATACACATTCATTCATACACACCCACATTCACCAATCAAATAATCATTATCAGCAAAGCAAAATGTCATTCATTAAAATAATAATCATCAGCCGGGCTCGGTGGCTCAGCCTGTAATCCCGTGCCTTTGGGAGGCTGAGGTGAGCGGATTGCCTGAGCCCGCAGGTTCGAGACCCGCCTGGGCAGCAAGACCTCATCGCTACAATAAATCAAAAAATCAGCCGGGCGTGGTAGCGCATGCCTGTAATTCCGGCTACTCGGAAGGCTGAGGTGGAAGGATCGCCGGAGCCCAGCAGGTCGAGGCTGCGGTGGCTGGGAGCGGCCACTGCACTCCAGTCTGGGCGACAGAGTGAGACTCCAACTCAAAAAAAAAAATAATAATAATAATAATAATCATCCCCACAGAACAAGGGATAGGCCAAATGACAATATCTAAAGGCTAATAATTAAATTAAGTGCATAGATATTGTAAGGGAAAGGGCAAAAAGTTAATAAGCAGGAGAGGTAGCTGAGTTTTTCTTCTCTTCCCCATGCTATTGGCTGTATCATGTTTGTTTGTTTTTTACAGTAAAGGAAGATTAATATGTACACTATAATAGGGAGAAAAAAATCCAACGTTAGATTCCAAACACAGGCCTTACCTAGGACATCATTTTAAAGATGGAATTCATTAGGAAAGAGAAACAGAAATTTGCAGCAAATGTTTCCAACAGAGTCTAAAATATAAGTGACAAGTTTTCTCCCTGGACTGTAACCTTCATTTCTGAAAGTGCTTCAAGCACCAACCTTCAAAGCTCTCCCTCACTCTTCTACTTGACTGCTGTAGAAGCCAAAACCTCATTAATATGAAACCCAAGAGCTTACGGAACTACAGGATAGTTATAAAAGTGATAGGCCCACTTTTTCTGGCAAACAGAATATGTATGGGTTCTTTATCTTGTTATGGGTTGAATTGTGCCTCCTTATAATTCATAAGTTGGCCATGTGAGGTGGCTCAAACACCTGTAATCCCATCACTTTTGGGGGCCGTGGTGGGAGAATTGCTTGAGGCCAGGAGTTCGAGACCAGCCTGGGCAACAGAGCAAGATGTACAAAGTCATATGTATTAATTAAAAGTATAATATTAAGTACTTTAAGCCAAAGGTCCTGACATTTATGTATTTGTTTCTATATCCTTGATTTTTTCCCCTATTTTAATTAGAGCACTGGCATACTGGAGAAACTTCATATGAAAATATATACTATTCACAGATATTAGCATATATAAATTGGTGGTTTAGGAGAATTCTGTAAAAAATAAAATTCACAAAAAAATACATGAAAATTAGCACCAGTGAATGTATATGAAAAAGTATTCACTGGGTCAGGAAAACAAAAGTGTACGTGGTGGCTCATGCCTATAATAATCCCAGCACTTTGAGAAGCTGAGGCTGGAGTTCAAAACCAGTAGTCTAGACAACATAGCGAGATCTTGTCTCTACAAAAAATATTTTTAAAGAATTGGCCAGGCATGGTGGCACGAGCCTATAGTCCCAGCTACTCGAGAGGCTGAGGTGAGAGGATTGCCTGAGTCCAAGGAGTATGAGGCTATGGTGAACTGTGATTATGCCACTGCACTCAGCAGAGCCCTGCCTTATAACAGAGCAACAAAGTAAAACCTAGAAGACAGAGTGAAATCCTGACTTAAACAAAAAAAAGCAGAGCACGGTAGCTTATGCCTGTAATCCCAGCACTTTGGAAGGCCTAGGTGAGAGGACTGCCTGAGCCCAGGGGTTCGAGACCAGCCTGGGCAACTTGGCGGAAACTTGTCCCCACAATAAATAAAAAAATTAGCTGGGCATGGTGGCATGTGCCTGTAGTTCCAGCTACTTGCAAGGCCGAGGCAGAAGGATCGCCTGAGCAGAGCAGGTCAAGGCTGCAGTGACCATGAGCATGCCACAGCACTCCAGCCTGGGCAACAGAGTGAGACTCCAACTCAAAAAAAAAAGTACAAACTGAAAGGTATTTGCAAAGTATTATATTTGAAGTCCTACTTCTGTATTGCCTTCCATTGTACCACTGGATATAGTTACTGAAACCTAACATAGGTTAGCTTGCGTTTCTCTCTGGCAGTTGGTTGAGTCTTCCCAGTTGCTGAGTACAGTAAGACTGAGAGGCCAGGCACAGTGGCTCAAGCCTGTAATCCCAGCACTTTGGGAGGCTGAGGCAAGAGGATTGCCTGAGCGCAGGGGTTTGAGACCAGCCTGGGCAACTTGGTGAGACCTCTTCTCTACAATAAATTACAAAAACGAGCTGGGCGTGGGAGTGTGCACCTGTAGTTCTGGCTCCTTGAAAGGCTGAGGCGAAGGATCGCTTGAGCCCAGCAGGTCGAGGCTGCGGTGGCTGCGAGCGTGCCACTGCACTCCAGCCTGGGCGACAGAGTGAGACTCCGACTCAAAAAAAACCAAAAAGACTATGAAGGCTGAAGGCTGCAAGGTTGAAGAAAAAAGGGAGTAAAGAAGATGACTATACCAGCAGCTCTGGCGCACTGGAGGCACCATCCACGAAGAGCCTCTCAATGACACATTCTGCTCCATGAATCCAGGAAGAAAACCAACAAGGGCGAAGCCTCAACGTGGTGCCAGACACCATGTGGTGTTTTTTTTATATGCAAGATGTCTCCCTTAATCCTCAAATTAATCCGGTGAGTCCGGTGCTTTCCTCACTTTACAGATACACGTTGCTCAGAGAGGTGAAGCATGTTACCCAAGGGCACACAGCAGCAGCCGATGGAAAGCCAGAATCGGATTCTGGGAGAGACTGATTGCAAAGTCCCTGCTTTTCCCAGGATACACGTACACATGGACACAAGGGTGCCAGCCAGTCTGTTTCATGTGGCTCACCCTTCCCTTCTGATTCCTCTCCTTTCCACCCACTCTCCAGGGGCTTCCGTGCCAAATGTTGACTTACATTCAAATGGAAGCCTTCAAAAATTTAGCTACTGAAAATGTACCATAACAATGGAAAGTCCTACTCCTATTAATTATACTTAGAACACACTGAATGCATTATCTGTATTTTATTTTATTTTTTGAGTTGGAGTCTCACTCCGTCAGCCAGGCTGGAGTGCAGTGGCACGCTCGCAACCACCCCAGCGTCGACCCGCTGGGCTCAGGTGATCCTTCCGCCTCAGCCTTCCAAGTAGCCAGAACTACAGGCGCACGCTACCATGCCCGGCTAATTTTTTTGATATATTGTAGAGACAAGGTCTCACCAGCCTGCCCGGACTGGTCTCGAACCCGCGTGCTCAGGCAATCCACTTGCCTCGGCCTCTCAAAGTGCTGTGATTACAGACATGAGTCACCTCGCCTGGCCACTACCTGTATTTCAAAAGGTGCTACCTCCTAATCCTACACAATGCTTTAAATTTGCAGCGAACTACTTTCACAGTTTTTCAGAGTAACAGATATAACACTTACTTGGACTAAATTGTTTTTGAGTTGGGGTCTCACTTTGTTACCCAGGCTGCAGTGCAGTGGCATGATCATGGCTCTCACAGCTTCAACCTCCTGTGCTCAGGCGATCCTCCTGCCTTATTCTCCCAAGTACCTGGGACCGTGGGCATGTGCCACTGTGCCTGGCTAACTTTTTGATTTATTGTAGAGACCAGCTTTCACTATGCTGCCTAGGCTGGTCTCAGACCCGTGGGTTTAGGCAATCCTCCCACCTCAGCCTCCTGAACTTCTAGGATTACAGATGTGAACCACTGTGCCTGGCCACCAGGACTAATTTAATTGGAGAACCAGTGTCACCATTTGTCCATCCAAATCAGGGCGGGGGCTTCTACGAGCTAATTAAAAACAGAGTGTGTGGTCGGGCACGGTGGCTCAAGCCTATAATCCCAGCACTTTGGGAGGCTGAGGCGAGAGGATTACCTGAGCCTGCGGGTTTTGAGACCGGCCCGGGCAACATGGTGAGACCTCATCTCTACAATAAATCAAAAAATTAGCTGGGCATGGTAGCGCATGCCTGTAGCTCCAGCTACTTGGAAGGCTGAGGTGGAAGGATCGCCCGAGCCCAGCAGGTCGAGGCTGTGGTGGCCGGGAGCGTGCCACTGCACTCCAGCCTGGGCGACACAGTGAGACTCCAAACTCAGGAAAAAAAAAAAAAAAAAAAAAGAGTGTGGCTCTGTCTTCCCCAGAGATGCTGCTTCACTTCCTGAGTGTCTTGGGCTCTGGGGTCTGCCTGTTAGCTTTATAAACCTCTTGGGGGAGAGATGTAGTGGAAGAGAGAATAACAGGTGAACCGACCAGAGGCATAGCAGGTTCTTTTTGAGACGTTTTACTAGGCGGCAGTCTACCCTTAGCAGGACTGCTGATAATCTCTAGGAGGTGTGTGTATGGTCGGGGGCAATTATTTCATGAACTTCCTTTGCCTGTTCATCTAGAAGGGAGAGGGAAAAAGCTGCAGGGAACGAATTCCCCAGTTGCATGATGGCACAGAGGAAGGCATGGAGACCCCTGAGCGATGAGTCCTGTGGGGTTCTGGCCCACCTTTTCATAGTTGGAGAAGCCCCCCATGACAGCCGGGTCCACGATGCCACTGAGCAGCATGGAGAGGGGGTGCACGGAGAGGGACCGGTCCCAGGCATGCTGCTGAACGCAGTTGCTGATCCTCTCGTTGGTCAGCTCCATGGTTTCAATGGCGTTCTCCAAGGGGCTGATCTCTTCCTGAGGGACAGAGCGCACAAGAAGGAAGACCTGTCGTCAGCTCCAAGCGAAGCTGGAAACCAGTTCTGCAAGTCCCCTCAAGAGGTGGAAGAGATCCACAAGCCATAGAAGAGGGAAGTTTTGCTTGTCTGGGTGATGCTGAGTAGAATATCGTGATGTCTTGAAACGGTGACAAAAATGCAAAACAAGCGATTTAAAGTCTGCATGCAAAGTATGGGGATGACTTGTACGTTGGGCCTCTGGTCATGAGGATTCCTTGGGGCAAAGTGTCTACAGAACATTTGAGAAGAAAAAAGCTAGAGCTGGAAAAAGGATTATTTCTTAGGCAAAGCTTCTTCGGAGATTTTTGAGATCAGTGACAACGGAATAGCGGGATGTCAGATCTGAGACATTTCTGACACCAAACATGTTCACTGGCAAAACATCTGATGCTGCCTCCGCAAGAAAAGGTAAGTAATCTCGGAAGCCATGCATTCATACTTAGTGTGGGTTCTGTGGTTAGCAGACGTCAGAAATAATAGGATGTATTACAATATTCAGGCTGAATTGTGGGTGAAAATGAAATAAAATGCGGTACAGATTCAACGACAGCGCTTTCTATGGAAATGTCTTCAAAACCACGTTTCAAGAAAAACCACCTCCTTCTTCACTTCACCCGTGACCACCCAGCCAGTGTAACCTCCCACTCCAGATGATTCCAAAAGTCTCTGTCCAAAAATCGTATTCATACTTGAAAAATAATGATTTATAACATATCGAATTTCAGTTCAGATTGTTTTCAATAATGATTTCCTGAACAACTACTACTTTAGGCTAAGTGCCAAGCTATGCACTGCAGTTAAAAAAAATAATTAAGGCAAGCCTCTTGGGTCCCCTCCTACTGTAGGAGCCTTTCTGTCCTCTCAATAAATCCTGCTTTCTAAAATAATAATAATAACAATAGCAATAACAACTAAGAGACACCTCTCGGCTGGGAGGGGCTAATGGTATCAGTGGTGTCTTAGGACATAGGTTAGAAATAAGCCCAGGGTGTGACTGGTCACAAAGGGGATCTAACCCAGCTTGGGTGTTCCAGAAATGGCTTCATGGAAAAGGTGGTGTCTAAACTGAGTTAACTGGAGTTAGTTGGGTTCGGCAGTGGCGAGAAGGTGCTTCAGACACAGAAAATGACCCAATGTCACAGAGGACTGAAACAACACGGAATGGGCAGGTTAGTACCAACACATTCCTTAGGAACTGAAGCAGAAAGGCCAAAAGTGTGTGTTAAGGAAGATGGACTTTATACTCTAGTCACTGGGGACCACGGAAGGGCTTTAAGTACAGGCGCGAGCCCCATGGTCAGTTATGCTCAACAGAATTCACGCTCTACGCAGTGAGAAAACGGTCTTGAGAGGGTCAAGGTGAGGAGGCCAGTGAGGAGGCTGGAAATAAAAGAGATTTAGAACCCGGCACGGTGGCTCATGCTTGTAATCCCATCACTTTGGGAGGCAGAGGCGAGAGGACTGCCTGAGCACAGGGGTTCGAGACCAGCCCGGGCAACTTGGTGAGACCTCAGCTCTACAATAAGTCAAAAAACTGGCCAGGTGTGGTGGCATGAGCATGTAGTTCCGGCTATTTGGAAGGCTGAGGAGGAAGGATCGCCCAGGAGGTAGACTATGGTGGCCGTGATCGTGCCACTGCACTCCAGCCTGGGCAACAGAGTGAGATTCCCAACTCAAAAGAAAAAAATTAAAATTAAAAAATATACATATATTTGGTCACTATTAAAAAGGTAAAGTACGCAGCTTTTAGATGAGGAGGGAGGAGTCTAGGGAGACTGGTGATGTGATCAGCTGAGAATAAAAGAAGAGAAAAGGCTTTGGGAGAGAAGATGTAATTGACAGGAAACTCCAAAGAGGCATTCCAAAAATGTTTCTGGGTGCTGGCAGGATCATTGAGGAGACAACACTCCTCTGGTCATAAAAGAGTCATTCACTGTGAGTGACCTAGGGTTGGCATTGTAACATCACTTCTACAAAGGAGCTCTATGATACAAGCATGCCTTCTATTTCTCTTTTGAAAAACAAAGTTGGCCAGAGGCGGCTGGCTAAGCTGGTGCGAACTGCAGAGGGAATTTAACAAAGGCTGTTATTATATTTGGAGACAGAAAGGTTTTTTTCCCTAAGTTCCAATTTCAAATGACTCACTGTTGAAATCTGTTTGACTTCAAACCACTTGAGAATCCCAGGAAAGGTGTACGCGGTCGTATACGTGGTTCGTTCAATCCACATCGTCTGGTGGCAGGAAGGAAAACATGAAATGTTGGTCAGTTCCCTGGCAAAACAGCAAAACTCCCTAGGTTCAGTTAAGTGACATTCCATTCCCAAATGTCTCCTCATGAATGGGTTCTATTTTCTCATAGAATTTAAGGAGTTTGGATGTTTAAAGTCAAAAGGAAGTCATCTACTTAGGACTTCTTACCCTATAGATGGAAACCTGAGGTCCACAGAGGTGTGACTTGTCCCAAGTCAGATGACAGCAGGACAGAAGCAGGACCTAGCTGCTGCTTCTTCAATTTTTTCTTTTTTTTTTTGAGTTAGAGTCTCACTCTGTTGCCCAGGCTGGAGTGCAGTGACACACTCACAGCCACTCCAGCATTGACCTGCTGGTCTCCAGCGATCCTTCTGCCTCAGCCTCCCAAGTAGCTGGAACTACAGGCATGCGCTACCAGGCCTGGCTAATTTTTGATTTATTGTAGAGACAAGGTCTTGCCAAGTTTCCCGGGCTGGTCTTGAACCCACAGGCTCAGGCAATCCACTCACTTCGGCCTCCCTAAGTGCTGGAATGACAGGCTGAGCCGCTGAGCCTGGCCCATTTTTTTTTTTAAAGTCAAAGTCTCACTCTGTCACCCAGGCTGGAGTGCAGTGGCATGCTCATAGCCACCGCAGCCCCAACCTGCTGGGCTCCAGCCATCCTCCCGCCTCAGCCTTCCAAGTAGCTGAAACTACAGGCACATGCTACCATGTCTGGCTAAATTTTTTGACTTATTGTAGAGATAAGGTCTTGTTAAATTGCCCAGGCTGGTCTGGAATCCTGGGGCTGAGGCAACTCTCTAGCCTCCACCTCCCAGAGTGCTGGGATCACAGGCGTGAGCCACCACACCCGACTCAGAGTCCAGTTTCCTGACTCCCCTCTAAAGTTTTCCCTTGAGATTACAGCTTGCTCTCTGGGTAATCAGCAGGTGAAACCTCTGTTCCCAGGGGAGCCATTGCTTCTGTTAGGTATGCTGGTCAGGTCGAAGGCTCCCATCCTGGATGTCAATCTCACCTCTAAGAGGACAAAGGGCAGAGACTCACAGCAAATTCATTGTCTGGGTCCTTTTCTCCTTTCCGGAATGGCCGGGAATATCTGAACTGCTGCACTTCATTGGCTCTGTAGTAGCTGGGGAAGAACACAGCAACAAGGCTGCATTTTCTCTGAGACACACCACTCCTAGATCTGACTCCAACAAAACCCTGGGCACCTCTGACCTTCACCCACCAAGCTACCTTACAACTGAGAGAGTCTCCATACGGAAGGCTTGAGGTGGTGCATGCTTGGATGTGACTTCACATTTTACTTTTTTATTTTGGGGGTTGGAGTCTCACTCTTGTCACCCCGGCTGGAGGAGTGCAGTGACACACTGCTCACGGCCACCATAGCCTCCACCTGTTGGGCTCCGGCGATGCTTCCGCCTCAGCCTTCCAAGTAGCTGGAACTACAGACGCGCGCCACCACGCCCAGCTAGTTTCTGTGATTTTATTGTAGAGATGAAGTCTCACCAACGTGTCCAGGCTGGTCTTGAACCCCCAGGCTCAGGCAATCCTCTCGTCTCAGCCTCCCAAAGTGCTGGGATTACAGGCTGAACCACCGCACCTGGCCATTTTTTTTTTTGAATTGGGGTCTCACTCTGTCACCCCGGTTGGCGTGCAAGTGGAACAATCACAGCTCACCTCTACCTCGACCTCCTAGGTTCTGGCGATCCTCCTGCTTTGGCCTCCAGAGCAGTTGGGACTAAAGGCACATGCCACCGCACCTGGCTAACTTATTTTTTTGTAGAGACGAGGTCTTGCTATGTTGCCTACGATGGTCTTCAACACCTAGGCTCAAGCAGTCCTCCCGTCTTGGCCTCCCAAAGTGCTGAGATTACAGGTATGAGCCACCATGGCCAGCCCAAATGTTGCTGTTGTTTTTAATAAAGAGCCACTTACTTTAAGATCTGCTCTGGAACGGGTTTATCCTTGTAGCTGGGAGGCAGGCTCATCACTGGCTTTACGGTGAAGCATTGCATGTCTGAGGAGCTCGTTAAGGAAAGGAAAGGGGCTGGGGCCAGGAAGGTGACAAGCCACAAGTCTCTGTTCCTTCCACTTCACAGCTGGAAATGCCGCCAGCACCAACCACTCCCTGGGATTCCAATACCAGGACTACACTCAAAGTGGGGCTCCTTGGTGCATCACCAAAATACCTTATTCAGCAATTAATCCTTGAACCTTTTTGGGGGGGTCAGGCACCTGGTAGAGGTAAATAGTCAACAGCGAGTTATCATGAACTAGGTGGTTAGAGCGGGTGTTAAGGAATTTCTTTTGGACAAGCATCCTCCTGAAATAGCCAGACTCCAACCAGCAGGAGTTGCTTTTATCTTTGGATACCATCTGCTTATCCAGTGCTACAGCTGGGCACTGCACTAGGTGTTATGAATATGCCATTTCCAAAAGACACAACAGTTCTTCAGGAGGGATATTATTCTCCTTTTATGGATGAAGAATCTGAGGACAAATGCGATTAAAACCCAACGTCACACAACTGACAGGTGGTAAAGTCTGTCTTCAAAGCCAGCTCAGGGCTAAGGGCTTCTACTCAGATTAATGATCTAGTCTTAGAAATACCTCCTCCCACCCCCCCACCCCCACCCTCCCCAGTACAGATACACTGTTTCAAAGTCTATAACAGAATCCAGAATTCAGAACAGGAAGTCTCCCTTCTATTCAAGCTCCCATCTGGTTATAAGACATATCCTTTCGTATCCAACATTTGCTTATCGCTTCCCTTTCTTGACTCCATAACTACCAGCTAGGGATATCAGGGTCCCCAAGATTTTCACCTTAGAAGGGGAACCTGAGTCAGAATGGTTAACTGAGTGGGTCTGAGGACACAGGACGTCTCTGACTACAGAGAAGGGATTGCAACCCTTGGCTTCCCTGGCGGAACCGGGACTGTACCCTGTTAGAGAACCCCCGGGCCGCCCTCCCCACGGGAAGGATGCACTGTTTCGGGGAGGACTTGATGTCTTCTCCAGGGGACGTGGTGCTGGTCATCCTCTCCGCATTGGGGAACTGGGTCAGTAACCTCAGGCTGAAGTCCTCTCGCCTCTCATATTCCTTTCCCCGGTAGATGAAGATCTTATTCTGCGGGTCAGAGACAGCAAGGGAAGTCATGAAACAGGAACAGGGCTGAGGCGACTGGAGTTATGGCTACTGAGGGAGCCATCATCTCCCCAGCCTAAGTTCAACCCACCGCAAGGTTCTCGCCAAATACCTATGACATGCCGGACAGCTACCATCATGTCTGACAAGAACTGAGGCTTATTTGAGGATTTAAGTCACAGGCATAAAAAACACTTAGCCCTAGGCCAGGTGCGGTGGCTCATGCCTGTAATCCCAGCGTTTTGGGAGGATTTCTTGAGGCCCAGGGGTTTGAGACCAGCCTGAGCAACATAGCGAGACCCTGTCTCTGGTTTTAAAAATGCAGCAAAAAAGATACTTTGCTCAGTGCTCCTGGCAGTGTGGCCCAAGGACCACAGCCAGCCTGCATGGACCTGCAGGGAAATAGAGTTTGTGTCCTCATTGAAATCCAGAACATCACCGGACATACGGATATTTTTCATAACAAGATGTTATTCTCCAGGAAGGAAGGGAGAGCCTTAATTAGATTCCAGTGTAAACTCTTATCTATCTCATTGTGATCCAGTAAGAGTCTGTGGACCAGCACTTTAAACAGCACTGCCTTAGAGAGTGTGACTGTGTGATGAGAAGGCATCTTCAGACACAGTGACAGAGCAAGGAGTGGGAATAGTGTATAGCGGTCCCTAGCCAACCCCCAGAGTCTCACAGAGACTAACCTCATTAGACATAGTTTCCCATAGCATGAAACTGAAGGCCACTATCCTAAGTGAAATAACCCAGAAAGAGTCAAATCCTGGGTGTTTTCATTTATAAGTGCTAAACAAGGGGTCTCCATGGACACACAGAGTGGAATAACAGACATGGAAGACTCCAGAAGGTGGGAGGTTAGGGCAGGGGTGAGAAAGGAGAAATTGCCTATCAGGTGCAATGCTTACTACTCAGGTGACAGGAACACAAAATCTTTTCCACTATGCAATATATCCATGGAACATGAATCCCCCTAAATCTATACAGACAAGAAAATGTTAAAAATGCTGTTTTCTCCATTGTAAGTTGCAGGTGTTATCTCTTTAATGAAATTGGATTTTTTTTCCCCCAAAGAAATGTCCTAAGCTCCAGGCACGGTAGTAATGTGTCTTGTAGCTGTGGCTGCCTGCGCACGTGCAAATGTGGCTGTGTTTTAAATGAGCAGTTTGCACTTGTAGCCCACACATGATTCATTTTTAACCAAAACTTGAGCCTATGTTTTGTAAAATGTCTTGGAAATTCACTTGTCCTTTCATACAATAAAAGTTTATTGAGCAAACAGTAGATAAGCTAGGCACTAGGGATATGGTAGTGATCCTGCTCTCACAAAATTTACCTTCTAGTGGAGAGAACAAAAAACAAAAGAATTATGGCTGGGCATGGTGGCTCACACCCATAATCCCAGCACGTTGGGAGGCCAAGGCAGGAGAATCACTTGAGACCAGGAGTTCGAGATCAGCCTGGGCAATACAGTGAGCCCTCATCTCTACAAAACATCAAAAAAAATTAGCTGGATGTGGTGGTATGGGCCTGTAGTTCCAGCTACTCAGCAGGCTGAGGCAGAAGGATTGCCTGAGCCTAGGATGTCAAGGCTGGGGTGAGCTGGGATTGTGACACTGCCCTCCAGCCTGGGTGACAGAGTGAGATCCCAATTCAAAACAAAAAAACCCAACATATAAACATGATCATTTTATTTTATTTTATTTTGAGTTTTCTTCTGTTTTATTAGCTTTGCTTTTGTAAAGTACTCTTTTTGTTTTTTTTTGTAGTTGGAGTCTCACTCCATTACTCAGGCTAGAGTGCAGTAGCATGCTCACAGCCACCCTAGTGTCGACCTGCTGGACTCAGGTGATCCTTCTGCCTCAGACTTCCAAGTAGCTGGAACCACAGGCATGTGCCACAATGCTTGGCTAATTTTAAAAAATTTATTGTACAGATGAGGTCTTGCCAAGTTGCGGGGCTGGTCTCGAACCCTCAGGCTCAGACAATCACTCACCTTGGCCTCTCAAAGTGCTGGGATTATCAGCTGAGTCACCAAGCCCAGCCATATTTGTTTTCTGTAATTTAACATGATCGTTTTAAATAGTTTAAGTACTGTGAAGGCACTTCATCTTCTAGGCAAATACACTGAATGATGGTACTAAAAAAATGCCAGGTCTGGTCAGGCTCGGTGGCTCAGTCTGTAATCCCAGCACTTTGGGAGGCCGAGGCGAGTGGATTGCCTGAGCTAGCGGATTCACGACCAATTCGGACAACCTGGTGAGACCTCGTCTATACAATAAAATTAAAAATAGCCGGGCGTGGTAGTGTGTGTCTGTAGTTCCAACTACGTGGAAGGCTGAGGTGGAAGGATTGCTGGAGCCCAGAAGGTTGCCACTGGGGTGGCCCTGAGCATGCACGCCACTGCACTCCAGCCTGGGCGAAGGAGTGAGACTCCAACTCAAAAAAAACCCAACTCAAAACAAAACAAAAAACCCTCCAGTTCTTTTGGAATACATGACAACATTTTTTAAAAGCTGGGAAACATATACGGGACACACAATTATAAAATTCCATCATCCAGACAAAACTACGGTGGGCAAGGAACCAGAGTATAATAAAGACGCTAACTGCATGATGCGGGCACCAGCAGCGAAAGGAATCAGAGAAACAGGACAGCAAGAAAAAGCTTGACTAGAACGAGAAGGCTTCGAGGAAGACGTGGGCCCTGGCTGGACTCAGGTGGATGGACAGGGTGAGGAGAAGGAACAAGAGGGACCAGGCAGGTGAGTGGAAAGATGGGTAAAATCCATGGCCAGAAAGCAGGGTTCAGGGAGAAGAAATGGGCATGGCCTGGAAGAATGAGCCGGAATACGAACGGCCTTGAAAGGCAGGCAGAGGTTTCAAAGGCCCAGAGAATTCCCTGGAGGTTCTGGAAGAACCTGGGAGCAACATGATGAAAGAGGCAGTAGTGTAGACAACCTCATCTGATGATGGACCATAGGCCCAACTGAAGGCTCTGAGGCAGGCCTGAGCAGGGGAAGGAGAAACGTCAGGATGTGGTGTTTGACCCCTTGGTGTTTGGAGAGGGGCAAAGCAGATGGGGAGTCAGAGCTGATTCAAAGATCACTGATCCTGGAGCAGGAAGAACAGTGATGCCCTTGAGAAAAGCACAGGAGAGGAAGAAAACCAGCTGGCCTGGCCGAGAAAGGATCTATCTATCTATCTATCTATCTATCTATCTATCTATCTATCTATCTATCTATCTATCTATCTATCTATCTATCTATTTTTTTGAGTTGGCATCTTACTTTGTCATCTAGGCTGGAGTGCAGTGGCACAATCAGGGCTCACTGAAGCCTCGACCTCCTGGGCTCAGGCAATCCTCCCGTCTCAGCCACCCAAGTAGCTGGGACTACAGGCATGCACCATCATCTCAGCTAATGTTTTATTTTTTGGAGCGATGAGGTCTGTGCAGTCTAGACTGGTCTCTAATTCCTGGGCTCAAGTGAATCCCCCACCTCAGACTCCCAAAGTGCTGAGATTATAGGTGTGCGCCACTGCGTGAGTCTATAGTTTTTTTTGTTTTGTTTTGTTTCTTTGAGTTGGAACCTTACTCCATTGCCCAGGCTGGAGTGCAGTGGCACACTCATGGCCATCCCAGCGTCAACCTGCTGGGCTTCGGTCTCAGCCTTCCAAGCAGCCGGAACTATAGGCGTGCACTACCATGCCCAGCTAATTTTTGCTTTATTGTAGAGTCAAGGTCCCGCCAAGTTGCCCGGGCTGGTCTCGAACCATGGGCTCAGGCAATCCACTGGCCTCGGTCTCCCATAGTGCTGGGATGACAGGCTGAGCCACTGAACCCGATCGTGCCTATAGTTTTATATATTCTGAGAGTGGAGGAATGTTCCATAATATGGAAAGGCATTTAGGTTAGATCATTCAAAAGGACTTCATAGTCCTAAGCACACTTTGACAATATGCTAACATCTACAAATACAGTTTATAAGGCACACTTATACGCTATTTATTTAATCCTCAAACTGCCCTGTGATGTGGACATTATTTCTCTAACTTTCAAATCGGAAAACATAAAGACGGGATCAACAGACACTGGGAACTCTTTTTTTTTTTTTGAGTTGGAGTTTCACTCTGTCACCCAGACTGGAGTGCAGTGGCCGCTCCCGGCCACCACAGCCTCGGCCTGCTGGGCTCCGGCGATCCTTCCACCTCAGCTTTCCAAGTAGCTGGAACGGCAGGTGTATGCCACCACACCCAGCTGAAAGTCTACTGTTGTTTCCATGGAACCACTGTTGTTGCTGCCTCCGAGTTCACACTTGTCATTTCATGTGACACACAGGCACAGGCAGCAAGCAGGGAAGGCGCCATTCTTTTGTCTTGACCCAGATTAGCAGCAAAGCCAAGACTAGACCCAGACCCTCATTCTCCCCGGGCCATCTTATCCCTAAACAGGATTGCTTTAATTACATGCAAATAACTCACTTAACTTTTCTCTTCAGCCTAGAACTTCCCTTTGAGTTCCAGATCCACAGAGCAAATAGTTGACTTACATCCTTTGGACGTTCCAAATTTACCTCACCTTAAATATGTCCAAAATCAAACATTCACAAACATCTTACAAAGACCTGGGAAGCCCTCTGCAATCTGGCAGCACAGCTCCCCGACCTGGCTCTCCTAAGCACTCTTATGTTCACACTTCACCGGCTTTGTGACTTTTCAAATATTATTTTTTTCAAAAAAAAAAATTAAATCTTTAGCTTTTGTTTTTCCAGTCGGAGTTTCACGCTGTCACCCAGGCTGGATGGAAGGTATGATCCCTGCTCACAGCTGCCTCGATCTTCTGGACTTAGGCGATCCTTCCATCTCAGTCGCCCGAGTCACTGAGACTACAGGCGTGCACCACCACACCCAGCTATTTTATTTTTTTGTAGCGATGAGGTCTCATTATGTTGCCTAGGCCGGTCTCGAGCTCCTCGGTTAAAGCGATCCTCCTGCCTCGGCCCTCCCAAAGTGCTGGGATTACCAGTGTAAGTCACTGTGCCCGGCTAGTCTCACAGTTTTTGAACTTGCTGTTCTCATTCTCTGGGAACTTTGTTTGTCCTCTTGATAGCTACGTGGCTTATTGGGTCACTTCTTTCAGGTTTTTGCTCAAATGTCATTTTCTTTCTGCAGTCTTTCCTGTTCACTCCATTTAAAACTGCAACTCCACCCTCGATGCCTGCCTTTCCGGTCGCCTTTCCCGAGTCCTTTTCTCCACGACACTTATTAATAGGAGGGAGTTTTCTAGACCATCTGACACACTAAAGAATTAACTGGCCAGACACGGTGACTCACGCCTATAATCTCAGCACTATGGGAGGCCGAGAGGATTGCCTGAGCTCACAGGTTTGAGACCGGCCTGGGGAACTTGGTGAGACCTCATCTCTACAATAAATAAAAAAAATTAGCTGGGTGTGGTAACACACGCCTGTAGTTCCAGGTACTTGGAAGGCTGAGACGGAAGGATTGCCAGAGTCCAGCAGGTTGACACTGGGGTGGCCGTGAGCATGCCCCTGCACTCCAGCCTGGGCGACAGAGTGAGATTCCAACTCAAAAGAAAAAAAAAAAAAAGAATTAACTGATTCTTGGGTCTCTCCAAGCTAGACTGTAAGGTCAACAATTCCAAGGGTCTGGGGTTTGTTGTGGACCCTGTTCCCATGCCTCTATCACAGCAAGGTCCACAACAAGGGCTCAGTAAATACTTACTCAACACATAAACTATCTCCTCTGTCACGCCACCCTTTTCCAATCCTGCTGTCCCAGTAAATGGCTCCGGTACCCGTCCCATGGCACAGACCGGAAACCTCGGAATCATTCCTGACACCCGCCCTCCGCCTCATCCGCCGGACCCAGCAGACATCCGATCTGGTGACTTTGCGTCCATCTCCTAGCCTTTCCACGTCTCTTAAAAGCCACCGCGTCCACCTGCCGGGCCACCTTGCGTCTGAACACCTGCACCTGTCTCCCAGGGGCTCATCTGCAAGCGCCCCCCGGCCACGCTCCACACCAAAGCCAGCCGACTTTTCCAACACGAGAAATCCGCATGGGCTCCCGCGGCTCTCAGGATGCAGACAGAACACCCCACACAGTCCCAAGACACCGCGTGCTTTTCCTACCCTCACGCCCCACGCAGGCTCCCCTAGCCCCCTCGGTGCCCCTGCACTGCCTTTTCCTTCACAGGCATCGACAAGCTCCTGCCTGCTGCTCCCTCTGCCTGGAATGCCTTTTCCTGTCCGCTTTACCTCCTCCACTCCCAGTTTCTTCCAGCGCGCAGCTGAAACAGAAATCCCCTGGGAAGCCTCTCTAGACTCTTAAAAAAAAAAAGAAATTAAGACATAATTTACATACAGTAAAATGGGTCCTTTTTAGTGCAAAACTCTGAGGGTTTCGTTTTGTTTTATAAGTTGGGGTCTCACTGTATTGCCCAGGCGAGAGTGCAGTGGCATGATCATGGCTCACCGTAGCCGCAATCTCCTTGGCTCAGGTGATCCTTCCACCTCAGCCTCCTGAGTAGCTGGGACTATAGGCATGTGACACACCAAACCCATCTAATTTTTTAATAGAGACGAGATCTTGCTATGTTGCCTAGGCTGGTCTCGAACTCCTGGGCTCAAGTGATCCTCCCCTCAGCCTCCCAAATTCCTGGGATTACAGGTGTGAGCCATCGTGCCCAGCTACTCTGTGAGGTTTTTTTGTTTTTATTTTGAGTCAGAGTCTCACTCTATTGCCCAGACTGGAGTGCAGTGGCATGCTCATGGCCACCCCAGCATCGACCCACTGGGCTCAGGTGATCCTTCCGCCTCAGCCTTCCAAGTACCTGGAACTACAGGCACGTACTACCACACCCAGCTAATTTTTTGATGTATTGTAGAGGCGAGGTCTCACCAAGTTGCCCAGGCTGGTCTCAAACCCCTGGGTTCAGGCAATTCTCTTGCCTCTGCCTCCCAAAGTGCTGGGATGACAGGCCTGGGCCACCGCTCCCGGCCTCTGTGAGTTTTGATACTTAAGAGTGACTGAAGGGCCACCACCAGCCACAAGTAGAACCACATCCCCTCCCTTTCCTGGAAAGAGGCCTAAACCCGGCCCCCCGCCTAAAATGGCAATCCGGCAAACAAAGGGGGCGTCTGAAATGCCACCTTCTGGGTTCTTCTTCCACAGTCTGGCTCACCTTTTCCTGTGCCCGCGAAAAAAACCCACCAACCTGGATGAAGCCCTGCCAGCCAAACTATAAACGACTGACAGGTCACCCTAAGCCCCTATAAAAGCTGCTGCGCCCTGCCTTGGCACTACAGCCTGACCCTCAGGTCCTGTAGCCACCGTGTTCGACCCGTTAAGGCCATTAAATCTCTTGGCCTTAACGGGTGTTGAGTCTCACTGTGCGCCACCATCTTTCATTGGTGCCGTGACTCAGATCGGGTTCCTCTCGCCCTCAGGTGGGACGCCGTTCCAGCGCTGGTGGGACTCACCCCTTAAGGCCTTCGCCCACTTTCTTGAACGCCAGTGCTGCATCCATCACCGGCCCTCGGATTGGTAAGTGTCCCTAACTGGAAAACCTAAAACCTCGCCTGGGATAACTGGAGAAGACTGAACTGTTGATTGTCTGGCAGCCCTTTCGGCCCCAGGCGCGGGGGGGACCACACCCCGCCTGGGTCTTTAAGGCCACAGCGGACCTCTACTGGTTTTCCCCTCTCCCGCCAAGGTCTTTAAGGCCACAGCAAACCCCGACTGGTTTTCCCCTCTCTCGGCCGTGAGGAATTTTGAGACTGCTCCCTCCCGCCATCCGGTTTTGGGCATCCTCTTCATCGAAAAATCCTGGTACCAGGTTGCCCTCAACCTCCTCAAGTCTCCAGGAGAATCGCGGGTTGTAATAACGTCCTGTGATGACAGGCTTTATTGAACCTCCTCATATCCTAACAGCCGGCTGTCCAGGGGACGCCCTGCTCGGCCCCAGCTGTTAAAATGGGAAACTCGTCATCCCTGCTGGCCGACTCTCCCCTCAAATGCCTCTTAGACAACCTCTCTACTCTCTCTCTCACTCCTGACATTAAACCCAAGCGTCTAATCCGCTTCAGTACCCAAGACTGTCCCACCTATCGCTTAGACAACCAAAATAAGTGGCCCCTACGGGTCCCTAAACCCCGACATTATACGAGACCTCTATAACTTCTACGAGCATTCAAAAAAGTGGGCAGAGATTCCCCTCCCTCCCCCATCCCGCTGACGCCGCCACCTCCCTCCTCTGTCTCTAACTTCAACCCAGCAGATAAACCTCCTCCCTATCGACAAACCTCTTCCACTCAGGCACCTCTGGTATCCGCTCCTGCCTAACCTCCCGTCTGCCTCTCCTATGTCCGACTCTTCCTCCCAGCCCACCATCTCTAATTCCTCTGTCTCAGCCTCGACCTGCTGGCTCTGGTGATCCTTCTGCCTCTGCCTTCCAAGTAGCTGAAACTACAGGCACGCGTTACCATGCCTGACTAATTGTTTTTTTTTTTGATTCATTGTAGAGATGAGGTCTCGCCACGGTGCCCGGGTGGGTCTCGAACCCGCGGGCTCAGGCAATCCACTCACCTCAGCTTCCCAAGGCGCGGGATTACAGGCTGAGGAGCCACCAAGCCCGGCTTCTTCTTCTTTTT